GTTTTTTTTGGGGGGGGGGGGAGGAAATGCAAAGACTCAACCTTGATGGTGTAAGTATTTTGGAACAATGCAGAATTGCCTTCTCTTTGTATTGAATAAGTCCTTTAAAAAAAGATAACATTTTAAATAATAAAATAAATTGTAATAAGTAGCACCTATCCTTAAAAAATGGATTAAGATAGAGATTCCCAAATTGTGCAATAATATGACCCCCTAAATGTTAAATGAATTTGTGCAACCTCCCTACGAATTACAAAATAACTAATGGTGATTAATAAATAATTATTAATTATTAATAGTAATAATAAAGTATTAATTATAATAATAGTGATGAATTAATAGTCAATAATTAAATAACTAAATGTGAATAAAACTCCTGTGGATGATTCTGACAGATGCTCAAGTTCATGGTTTTAGCCCAATCTCAAAACTCACTCCAGGGTTTGCTCCCAGCTTTGCTATACAATCCCTCACAAAGTGGGAGTGAGTTTGGATAGTACTCCAGTTTTTTCAGTTTTTTAAAAAAGCATTTTTGACCCTCTCTAAGTTGCTTGGACAACCTGAAAGATCACAACCTACAACTGAGAATTGTACCTCTAAAGGCTAACAGATTTCTCACCCGAGATATATCTTTGGTTGAGCTAAATACAGCCCCAAAGCTGAGTTAACATGTGCAGAAGGGGGTGGCATAGTTTTAATGTGACGGGCTGTGCCATATTTTAGCAAAGTGGCCATATGTCAGTCTAAAAGAGTGAATACATCACTCCTCCACTCAAAACCAACATAGAGCTGCATACAGTTTGCAGATGATTGATACAGAGAGAGAGGATACATATTTAGAAATAATACTTGTAGAGGTTGAAATTGATGAGGAAAGGACCAGCAGTTCCCAGGCTAAAGACGGTCGTAACAAAAATATACGACAACCTCTAGGTTTCAAGGCCACTAGATCTCAAACAAACTGTTAAGATGGAAGGCAGAAGACTAAAAGAGTTTAAAATCCTAAGAACATACAACATCCTTGATAACCCTGATACAGCGCACTGTTTATATTATTTGTATTTGTATTTATTTGTGTTTGAAAGTCAAATGCTTGTAATTCTTTCCTGCAGTAAACATTTTAATCTACCCAAGCTGTGTTTGTGAGTCTTCTGCCAAGGCAAGCCAAAAAGTCAAGCTAAGCCTTGAAGCATCAGACAAGCTGTGATTTATAGCCATACCTTGGTTGGAAGAGTCTGACAATACCTATAACTTAAATAGAGGTACAAAATACCCCTCTGCATACTGGAGATAATTGTGATCAGGTGCCTGCTTGGTCCACTACAGGGGCACGTGTGGGGAGAAGGGTCCAAAAAGTCAAGATGATGGCTGGGACCTTGCAAAAAAAGTCCTGAATTGGAGGGGTGTGTGTTTCAATTGGAGGGTGGGGGGTGTTTCGATTGTCGATGCCATCTTCACTTTCTGGATTCCCACCCATTTCCCCCCCCCCCCCC